CTGATATTGTATATACTACACAATATAGTACGTTAAGTAATTTTTGGGATGAGATTACACGTGATATGTTGTCGATCTTAACCTGTTTGAACACGTTCTACCGGGCGTGAACCAATCGTGGTCCACGGGCACTGCGCTTATCTGGCGGCGTGCACAACCGGTGGTTGAAAGGAAAATTCATTTATCTTGTGGCGTGGACCGTGGAAATAAAATGGATTGGGAGAATTATAAATTTATATTTGTTGTAAGCGTTCTCAACATAAATACAATTTATTTTTTATAGTTCTTTCTAAGACAAAACAATTAGGAAAGTGCCGTTATATGAAGAACTTGACAATCTTGTATAGAAATTTAGCCGGGTGGAACGTGTTTAAATATACTCCCAGGGGGCTTTAGAGTCTTGTTTATAAGTAGCGGCTTCAATAATCATCTCCGGATGCATTATTGAATAGTAGCAATGTAACTTGGTCTTTTGCTGTTTTAAAGCGAGACGCATTTGCAGACAGAAAAAGGAGGAGGCCGAAATGCGTGAGCACGAAGAGCTTGATAAGCTGGCCGATAGGGGTAATGCTCGAAAATTCTACGAAAAAATCCGGCGACTTACAGAAGGTTTCAAGACCGGTGCATACTCTTGTAGAACCCCCAAAGGTGATCTAGTCACCGATGCCCAGAGCATACTTAAATTATGGAGGGAACACTTCTCCAGCCTGCTGAATGGCAGTGAACGCACAACGCCAGGAGAAGGCGAACCCGATTTCCCAATCAATGACGATGGAGCAGAAGTTCCATTGACCGACCATAAAGAAGTTCGAATAGCAATTAGCCGCCTGAGGAACAACAAAGCGGCGGGGACCGATGGATTGCCGGCCGAGCTATTCAAATACGGCGGCGAAGAACTGACAAGGAGCATGCAACAACAATCTTTGTAAAATAAAATAAATATTAAAATATTTGTAAAATATGGTCGGACGAAAGCATGCCCATCGATTGGAATTTAAGTGTGCTATGCCCAATTCTTGAAAAAAGAGACTCCATAATCTGCGCCAACGACCGTGGGATAAGCCTCCTCAACTTCGCATATAAAGTTCTATCGAGCGTATTGTGTGATATATTAAAGCCCACCGTCAACAAACTGATTGGACATTGTCAGTGTGGCTTTAAACTTGGCAAATAAACAACCGACCAGAGATTCACCATGCGCCAAATCTTGGAAAAGACCCGTGAAAGGAGAATCGACACTCACCACCTCTTCGTCGATTTCAAAGCTGCTTTCGACAGCTCGAAAAGGAGCTGCCTTTATGCCGCGATGTCTGAATTTGGTATCCCCGCAAAACTAATACGCCTGTGTAAACTGACGTTGAGCGACACTAAAAGCTCCGTCAGAATCGGGAAGCACGTCTCCGAACCGTTCGACCCCAAACGAGGTTTCAGACAAGGCGACTCCCTGTCGTGCGACTTTTTCAACCTGCTTCTGGAGAAAATAGTTCGAGCTGCAGAACTAAATAGAGAAGGTACCATCTTCTACAAGAGTGTACAGCTGCTGGCGTATGCCAGCCTCAACACCCGTGCSGTTAGTTCCGCTTTCTCCAGAGTGGACAAGGAAGCAACACAAATGGGTCTGGCAGTAAACGAGGGCAAGACGAAATATCTCCTGTCATCAAACAAACAGTCGGTGCACTCACGACTTGGCACTCACGTTACTGTCGATAGTCATGACTTTGAAGTCGTAGATATCGTCTATCTTGGAACCAGCGTAAACACAACTAATCAAAACCAAACTGTATAAGTCACTCATAATTCCCGTAATGCTATATGCTGCAGAGGCTTGTACGATGACAACTGATGAGTCGACGTTGCGAGTTTTCGAGAGAAAAGTTCTGCGAAAAATTGATGGTCCTTTACGCGTTGGCCACGGCGAATATCGCATGCGATGGAACGATGAGCTGTATGAGATATATGACGACATTGACATAGTTCAGAGAATTAAAAGACAGCGGCTACGCTGGCTAGGTCGTGTTGTACGAATGGACGAAAACACTCCAGCTCTAAAAGTATTCGACGCTGTACCCGCCGGGGAGAGCAGAGGAAGGGGAATACCTCCACTCCATTGGAAGGACCAGGTGGAAAAGGACCTGGCTACGCTTGGAGTATCCAATTGGCGCCACGTAGAGAAACGACTGGTGCGCTGTTGCTAACTCGGCTATAATCGCGTAAGCGGTGTCTACGCCAATTAAGAAGAAGAAGAATGAAACTCGATATACGTTTTTTAGAATGTATTACAGGAACAGAATAAAGATTTGCCAGCTTTTAACTTATTTTTGCACAAATAATTTCAACAAGTTTTGGAGTCATTGCAGCACTTTTGAATATTCGAAATCGTTTTAAACAGTAAAACTGCATAAAAAATAATAGGGGGATTTAAAGAAACATTGTATAAAAATTCTTTGAGTGGTTCGAACCATTTCAGCGAKAAAAACTGGAATGTAGTTCTTTTGGAAATGGAAAGTGATAACGCAGTTTGAAATGAATTGGCTGATGCAATGTTCTCTAGAGCACAATAGCTTAGTCAAACATTTGTTTCAATAATTTTTTGACAACACTGGATTTCTTTTAACTGTTTTAATTTAAAAGATAAAAGTAAATAAATTTATTTATGAATTCCTTCAATGCCGAAAGTTGAGTATCTCACATTTCAATTAAACTATTGCGAAATTATTTAAGAAGTATGTTCCAATAGTAATTGTTAATAAAATTAAAAGTACAGGCCATGGTTCTTGAAAGAGTTATATAAATTTAAATACCGAAGAACGCGACATTTCAAACATTTTAAATGGAAGCATTTTCACTTGTCGAATATTCTAAATATCTGCGCTTCTCCGTTAAAAAATGTTATAATATTTACTTAAATAATATGATATAAAAAGAATATTGTACATAAGTTTTTTTTGACTCGGTAAATCCAAACGAAGAATTTCCAATTATCCTTTTGGGATGGACTATCAATCTATCATGTCATGCGCAATCACATTATTTCAAATATGTTCGCAAAATTTTTCAAGTCAAAATAGTTTACTTATTCTCCTAAAAATATTCCTATCAGCAGGTGCCCTGTCCGAATACGTCAATTAATGCTCCAATTATGTCTGATTAAGACGTCTTATTTAATTTAAAAAAGTTAAAATCATGTTTTAATTACAATTCATATATGATACATTCCTGCCCCTGAAAAATAGTGCCAAATGTATCTACTTGCCTTTGACAAGATATTTAGTTCCTCTCTTGAACAAGGTATATTTCTTTCAATATGGAAGCAGTAATTTATAATCGTATTGCATAAAATTGAATTTGGGTCTTACACTGAAAACTATACCTAAAATTTTTGAAGCCATCATTGCAGATCGTAAAGCTCCACTTCTCTGCTTGGATTTCGCATCATCATTGTGTTTTTGGGAACGGCATACGGATGTTATATACACAACACTTTAGCAAAGCTTTCGAAAGTGAATATCTCGACTCTCGTATATTAATTTGATCTACTGGGCTTTCAACCAAGATTTCTTCAATTGGCATCTTTTTATTTATATAATATAATAGAACAGAACTAGTGATATTTGAGGATTTAATGTCTTTTCAGTTGTTTCACAAGGTCATCTTAGCCCCATTCTCTTCGTGTTATTTATTAACGATATCTCATCTACAATAGAATTTTCTAAAATTTAATTTTATATAATTTAGCTGACGAAAGATGTCTGTTTTAAAGAGATTTAAACAAACGTATGTTACTAAAATACTTTTTTCAACTTTGGTTACTTCTATATAGGAATATGGCAGTTGTATGGAACCCAATTTACCAAATTCATTCTGACCAATTAGAGTCTGTATCAAAAACATCTACCTTCACAAACTAGTGGTTTAAAACTTATAAATTTACCTATAGTTACTAGTCGCATGGTAACACTAGCCATTGTATTCTGAGTGATTTCTTGAATGAAACACTTTGCATTTCTTTTTTGCTTGAAATTAAATTGAAATTTCTGGTTCACATTTCGAGGCAATTTAGATAATTTTAATGACCCCTTTAATGAATTTTCACTCTTTCACAAGCAAGAACTGAATTGAATAGTTTTGGTTTTTCTTTTGATGTCAGCTTTTTAATTATCTGTCAAATTTTCATTTTCTAAGCTTTGAAGCATTTTTGAAATTTCAACTAAAAATAGTTGAAGTTCGTAATACCAAAAAAGAGAGCCAGGTTGATCTGAAGTTGAATTGCTTCAATTCAACTCAGTGATGTTGAAACATGTATCATGGGTAGAAAGTACATGTTAAAGCTATACATTTTACAGAAATACTGTTTAAAGTATTTGCCAACTATGCCCAAAATTTAGTAATATTTCGTTAAATGAAACACAGAAAAAATTTGAACGGTTGTCGTGGTATTAATATRGTTGTGTGTTTTAGCAACTCTGAAGGATTCGAAACAATTTTTTGGTATAATTTATAAGAATGTATCCCTTGAGACAACTTACAACATAGACTTTGTTAATTCATAAAAAAATATTTTACAACAAAAAAATTTAACGAAGTACATATTATTAGTAAAGTAGGTATTCATGGAGTATTTAAATAGTAATACTTTTTTGGAGATATATTTTGGTAAATTATGGAATTGGAAACATTCCTAAATCATACAATAAAGAAGAGCATTTATATAATATTTAATGTATTCAAATTCCAAAACTCACATACATAATATTGTTAGGAACTCTTCTTGAACAATTCTGATTATGATGGTAGTTAGTAATTGACAAATATATTTCCACCGTAAAGGTGTTATGTTTTCAGTATTTTAATTTTGAGTTAAAAATGTTTAATGCAAAGGGTTGCCTTAAAAATAATATATTCATACTATTGCCGTATTGTTCTATTTAATAAATTATCTTAAAATAATATTTATTGTGATATACTTATACATATATTAAACTTATATAATGTTATTTCAGGTTTGGGAAAATAACTTGGATGTAATGACACATGGAAAGACGACTCTAAATATTAATTTGAAAACATCCGAAGGGCGTAAACTAGCACGAAAACTTGTCCAAGTTCATGATGTATTGATTGACCCATTTAGACCTGGTGTATTGGAGAGTGTTGGCCTTGGTCCCCATGTTTTGTGCAAGAAAAATCCTAGGTTAATATACGCACGTTTAACAGGTTTTGGCCAATATGGCCCCTTAGCAAAACGAGCAGGGCATGACATTAACTACCTTGCGATTTCTGGTGTTTTATCTATGTTGCGTTCTCATAATAATAGACCAACTCCACCTTTAAATATCTTGGCAGATTTTGCTGGTGGAGGTTTACTATGTGCAATGGGAATTTGTTTAGCGCTTTTAGAACGCCATCGGTCTGGTTGCGGACAAGTAATTGATGCTTCAATGTGTGAAGGAGTGGCTTATTTATCCTCTTGGTTATTTTTGTCCCGTTCCCTTCCCATATGGAAGAGTCAAGCAGGTCAAAGCATGTTGGATGGAGGAGCTTATTTTTATGATCTATACGAAACGAAGGATGGGAAATATATGACAGTAGGAGCTTTGGAACCAAAGTTCTTCCAATTTTTTAAAAGTAATTTACAGTTGCCTGAACTCTGTCAATTTCCTGAAAATCGCTATGAAAAAAATATTACTATAGATTTAGTAAAACAAGCATTTTTAAAGAAAACGCAAGCTGAGTGGTCGGATATATTTGAAAATAACGATGCTTGTGTTTATCCAGTTGTGGAATGGGAAGATGTAGCTCAGCACGGACATAATAAATTTCGTACAAGCTTTGAGCGATTGAATAATATGTGGGTTCCTGTACCGTCCCCCATACTGAGTAGAACCCCTGGAAGCATTAAAAGTATGACTACTCATTTAACAAATGAAAATGTTTTACAAAATATGGACTTGCGCAAAGAGAATATAAAAAACGGCAAATCAGTGTTTCCAACCAAAAAATCAAAAATATAAGTAATATGTATGTCGAAATTATGTCAATTGACAATTAAAATAGCGTGATCAAAAGTGTTTTATAAAATCAAAAGTAAAAGCAAAATATATAAGATTCCGTGGTACAGAATTAATTATTGTTAATCAGAATTAAAATGCATGGATTCTTTGGATCCATAGCTTTAATATACACTGTGCATCGCCAACTTAAAACACCTTTATCGGTTTAAAAGAATTTCTTCTGGGATTTTTGTTATCAACTTGCTTTGTTTTGTGATTTTCAATATCCTTCCAGGAACAATCACTGATAAAAAAGAAATGCGATAAAAATGTTCCATTACATGGTTTTTACTAGTATATTCTTTTTAATCATTAATTATGCTTTATTTTTGCATTACCTGGTTGACACGTGCAATTTGATTGGATTTATCTTCGGAGACTGAATACTTATTAACCAAATATTATGATATTGCTAAGTGCTCTATTTTTTAGTATGGAAAGCAATAATCGAAGCTTATAAATAAAAAGTTACAGCTTCTAATAATTGAAACTGGCAGAAGTCGAAGAGTTATATGCAATTTCTTTTTTAATAAGACACGAGTACGAGCGAAATAATGAAAGCGGGTTTCAATAAGCTTATTGCTATATTGCTATATATATATAGCTATATTGTCTATTTAGGTAAAAATAATAATAAGATCCAAAGAATAATACATATTACTATTTTCATCTTCTTTTGAAGGAGCAATATCAGTTGGAACGGCTTCACAGGTGCGAACGGTATGACTTTGCCATCTTCTATATGRTACGTGTGAGCTGCAATTTTTCAAAAGTAGTAAGAATGCACTAGTACTGGAAACTACTTCTTTCCATTTTAAACTTTCCGAACTTTGATAGAGTGCCCGCGTGTTTAAGCCTTGGATTGAAGAATAAAATGATATTTAATGCAGTTTCCATCTTAATTTACGGACATAAATGTATTAGAAATATGTGGCGATGGTTGAATTAGTTGATCGTATGGTTGATCATCAATTTTCAAAAATTCAATAAAGAGGGGTCGACTCATTATTAACATAAAATAAAAATATTTAAATTACTAATTACATATATATGTAAGTTTAAAAATATGTTATTGGCTAAAAATGGTAAACAATATAAAAAAAAGTTGATATGTGCTAACCTGATGACCTAATTTAAAATGTTAATTTTTTTTTACTGATTTCAAACAAAATAAAATTATTAAAACATATGGAAAGGGTAAACACGACTTGTTTTACTCGTTTTTTTTTTCCAATCCTCAAACAGTTTAAATTCAATTTCCACCTAAACAACCTTAAATGTGAGTAACGTATAAAACTCAATTGTATTCCTTGTTGACAGTTTGGTCGGAATAATATAATAATAATACGGAAGGAGTTCGGATTGCACTACATTTAGATAATCGAAGAAAACTATGAACAAATTGTCAGCTTGGTCGTTTGTTCCCGGGTCGTAAGCATAGATCAAAGAGTCATCGCCAGTAAATATACGTTTCATTATATCCTGGTAGTCGGAAAACATTGTTTCACAGACGTTAACATGACGCTGTTTTTCGTATTTGAATTTWATGATTTTGGAACGAATCATATTTTCCCTTTCCTTAGACCCAAATGATCTTTCAAAATGGGTTTCACTACTTCCACCGATATTCCAACGATGCCAGCAAGATCTCTGAATTTTAATCGTTGATTCGCAAACATCAATTCCTTTATTTTATTGACGTGTTGATCATCAGTTGATGTTGATGGCCATACTGCATATGGTTGGTCGTTAACACGTTCTCGACCCTCATTAAACAATTTTTATTTAACAAAAACACTTGATCACGACAATACAATTATGATCGAAGGCTTTTTCCAAAATTCTGAAAGTTTCGGCACCAAAAATTTGAATCCGAGCACAAAATTTATTGAAATTGTTTTGTTTAACAATTTCACCCATCGCAAAAACCACCGAATGCACTTTTTGTACTTCAGAAAGACAAACATATACAAAAAACGAATGATTATTTCATAATTTTTAAAACGTTGACAAGATATAGTAGTCTGTAAACTTAATTTTTGATGTCTACCTTCAGAAAAAAAAGGTTGTGGTTCCTTTACCACATTGCGTAAAAAAAAAATAAGAGTTCCATACTCAAACTAAAATAACTTGTAAATCTGCAAAAAACATTTAAAAGCCATTTTATCGCCAATAAAGCTTTGGCTTACTTGGTGTTAGAGAGTCCAATGGATTCCACGAAGGCTTTTTCCATGCGCACCGCATCAGTTTCTCCTCTAACATTTTTATCATCGCAATATAAATCAAAGGTTATGTTAATTTTTATGAATTTTCACCTTATTACAACCATTAACTGAAATTAATAGTTTTGGTTATGTGAACGGAGGAATTTGTGTCCGCCGTTCAAGATCGTTAATAAAAAATGTAAAACAATGAAAACTAAAGAAAATGCGAAATTTAAATATATTTCATAAATCGTTTTGTAATGTGATGCATGGTAATATGAATTTTCAATTACCGATGAGTAAAAACATTTATTAATTGCGAGCGTTAGCCTGTACGTCACTCTTTTAAGTATTGAAAGGGATAAGTTTTATAATAACATCCCCGGATTTTGGGGTTAAAATGTACGGATAGAGGAGGTCCTCGAGATTGAGAAAATATATATACATATATAATATTTTAAATAGTTGATTTTTCGAACTTTAAATGCAAATATCTCAAAAACCATATATCAGCGGCAACTTTATGTACATATATCCTTGATCTGGAAGATCTCCTCTATCCGTACATAGCCATTTTAACCCCGAAATCCGGGAATGCCATTCTAAATCGCAGCCATTGAAAGTTCAAGTCAGTTGTTTTAATATGCCATAAAATCATAACAAAAGATTTAAATAGTTTTATCATATACTAAAAGTTCATTATGTAATAATTTTTAATCGTAAAAAATGTTAGGGCTTTTAATTTAAGTGCCCAAAAATTGGTATTTTGTTCGATCTAGATACAATAGAAAATGTAATAAAAAACGCTTATTATGAGGCGCTCTCACACTGGAATAAGTAGTGAGTCCTTTTATCCCAGACGTAATCGTTGTATTTAGTAAACTTCACTTCATTTGATCGTTCGTCGTGAAATATCCATTGATTAAGCAACTTTGAAGGATTTGAAAACATTTTCTAATTATCAACTTATAGGATGCAGCTTTTAGGGACAACTATGAATTATATTTTAATCATATTGGTACATCAATAAATCAGATTACTTTGGAGGTCGGGCACTAAAAACGAATTTAGGTATGAATGAGTTGGCGCAATTCCGATTTATTTGGCGCCGCGATTTGAAGGTATGCTGGAAAGAAGAAGTCCTACCGCAAACGCTTAGTTTACGAGATATTCGAAATTAAAGTTCAAAACTTCGCAAAATTCAATCATTTCAAGAAGCTATTTCACCACATTTCAAACACGGCGGCGAAGAGCTGATAAGGAGCATGCATCAGCTTCTTTGTAAAATATGGTCGGACGAAAGCATRCCCAACGATTGGAATTTAAGTGTGCTCTGCCCAATCCTCAAAAAAGGAGACCCCACAATCTGCGCCAACTACCGTGGGATAAGCCTCCTCAA